GGAGGGCAGGTTATGATTGGGGTGCGTGAGGCTGTGTTTATCCTGGGGACGAGAGAATGAAAAAGGGAAAGAGCTGGAGAAAGAGAAACAAAGAGAGAGAGAGAGAGAGCGAGGAGAAAAATAACAATCCTCGCATTTGACACAGCGCCCGATCGGGGTCTTCGCGACGTCTCAAAGCGCTTCGCGCACTGACGCACCGTAAAGGGTAGCGACTGTGTGTTTTGTGGGCGAAACGAGGGAGAGAGAGAAGGAACGGGGGAAAAGAGACAAAAAGGGGGAGCGAGAAAGAGGGAGAGAGAGAGGGAGAGGGGGGTTATTGTTGGGGGGTGTGAGGCTGTGTGACTACTGGATACAGATTAATATTTGGAGATGGAACCAGACTGAATGTTTTACCCCGTAAGTGTGATAACTAATGACGCTGAGAGAGAGAGAAGGTAGGAAAAGAGAAGGGGGTGGGGGGGGAGAGAGAAAGAAGGAAAGAAAAAAGAGGGACGCAAAGAAAGAGATGAAACGAGGAGGAGGAGAGAGAGAGAGAGGGGGAGAGTGGGGGGGGTCGAAAGCGAAAGAGGGAGAGACAGAAGGTGGGGGGCGGGGGAGAGGATGGAGAGACGGAGAGAGAAAGAGAGGGGTCGAGAGAGAAAGAGGGAGAGAGAAGATAGGAAGAGAGAGAGAGTGTGTGAGCGAGTCTCACTATATTTGGAGAGAAGGAAAGAGGGAATGAGAGAGAGAGAGAGAGAGAACCACCCTTTTTCGAGAGAGGGAAGCGAGAGAAATAATAATGATCATCCCGGGGTTTGACCCGGCGCCTGATCCCGTCGTCGAGGCGTCTCAAAGCGCTTCGCGGGACACACCGTAAAGCGCAGTGGCTGTGCGTTTTGAGCAGGAAAGGGAGAGCAAGAGAGAGAGAGAGAGCGAGAGAGAAGTAAAGAGAGAAAGAAAAAGATGGGAGGAAGGAGAGGGAGAGAGGGAGAGAGGTTATTGTTGGGGGGTGTGAGGCTGTGTGACTATTGATCGGAAGCTTATCTTTGGAGAGGGAACCAGACTGAACGTGTTGCCCAGTGAGTCTAATAATTAATATCAATATAATAATAATAATAATAAGTTTCACCCACAAAACACACAGTCACTGGACTTCACAGTGAGTCCTGTGAAGCACTTTGAGACGCTCTCTCTCTCTCTCTCTCTCTCTGTCTGTGTGGGTCTGTGTGTGTGTGTGTGTGGTGTGTGTGTCTCACTCTCGGCCTCTCTGTACGTGTGTCTCAACCTACGTGTGTCCCCCTGTGTGTGTGTGTGTCTCACTCTCGGTGTCTCTGTCTGTGTCTCTGTCTGTATGTGTGTGTGTCTCACACTCGGTGTCTCTGTGTGTGTCTGTGTCTCTGTCTGTACGTGTGTGTGTCTCACTCTCGGCCTCTCTGTACGTGTCCTACGTGTGTCCCTGTGTGTGTGTGTGTCTCTATTATAATAATAATAATCCTTGTGTTTGACTCAGCGCCTGATCACATCTTCGAGACGTCTCAAAGCGCTTCGCGGGACACGCCGTACAGTGTAGTGACTGTGTGTTTTGTGGGGTTGGGGTGGGGGGGGGGAGAGAGAGAGGTTATGGTTGGGGGGTGTGAGGCTGTGTGAATGATGCAAACAGATTAATATTTGGAAATGGCACCAGACTGCACGTGTTTCCCAGTAAGTGATCTCTGACACTGTGTGTGTGAGTGAGAGAGAGAGAGAGAGAGAGAGAGAGAAATGGGGAAAAGAGAAATAATAACGATAATCCCGGGGTTTGACCCGGCGCCTGATCACGTCGTCGAGGCGTCTCAAAGCGCTTCGCGGGACACACCGTAAAGTGCAGTGGCTGTGCGTTTTGAGCAGGAAAGGGAGAGCAAGAGAGAGAGAGCGAGCGAGAGAGAAGTAAAGAGAGAAAGAAAAAGATGGGAGGAAGGAGAGGGAGAGAGAGAGAGGTTATTGTTGGGGGGTGTGAGGCTGTGTGACTATTGATCGGAAGCTTATCTTTGGAAAGGGAACCAGACTGAACGTGTTGCCCAGTGAGTCTAATAATTAATATCAATATAATAATAATAATAATAAGTTTCACCCACAAAACACACAGTCACTGGACTTCACAGTGTGTCCTGTGAAGCACTTTGAGACTCTCTCTCTCTCTCTGTCTGTGTGGGTCTGTGTGTGTGTCTCACTCTCGGCCTCTCTGTACGTGTCCTACGTGTGTCCCCGTGTGTGTGTGTGTGTGTCTATTATAATAATAATAATCCTTGTGTTTGACTCAGCGCCTGATCACATCTTCGAGACGTCTCAAAGCGCTTCGCGGGACACGCCGTACAGTGTAGTGACTGTGTGTTTTGTGGGGTGGGGGTGGGGGGGGGAGAGAGAGAGGTTATTGTTGGGGGGTGTGAGGCTGTGTGAATGATGGAAACTACGGGAAGTTAATCTTCGGAGCTGGAACCAGACTGAACGTTTCACCCAGTGAGTGTTGACAGTTAACGTCAATGTAGCAGCAACAATTTTCACCCTCGAAACACACAGTCACTACACCTCACGGCGTGTCCCGTGAAGCGCTTTGAGACGTCCCGACGACGCGATCGGGCGCCGGGTCACACCGCGGGGATTGTTATTATTTTCTAACCCTCTCTCTCTCTCTCTCTCTCTGTCTCTCTCACCCCCGGGATGACGTCTCAAAGCACTTCCCAGGACTCGCTGTGGAGTGTAGTGACTGTGTGTTTTGTGGGTATTTTGTGTGTCTGTCTCTCTCACAGTCTCTCCCATCTCTGCGTCTGTGTGTGTGTGTGTGTGTATGTGCCCCAAAATAATAACAATCGCGTCTTCGAGACATCTCAAAGCGCCTCACAGGACGCACCGTGAAGTGTAGTGACTGTATGTTGTGAGCAGGAAAGAGAGAGAGAGAGAGAAAATGATGGGAGGAAGGAGAAGGGAGGGACAGGTTATTGTTCAGGTGTGTGAGGCTGTGTGACCAGTTCAGACTTCAAGCTAATGTTTGGAAATGGAACCAGACTGAACGTTACACCCCGTGAGTGTCCGAATTAATATTAATATCACGATAATGGGAACAAGTGATGTGCGAGAGGGAGAAAGAGAGAGAGAGAGAACGAAAAATATAAAAGGAATAATAATAATAGTGTTTAAAATAGGGCCTTATCACGTCTCAAAGCGCTTCACACAACATCTCTCTCTGTCTCTCCCTTCTCCTGTCTCCCCATCAGTCTCTCTGTCGCTCTCTAAATATATATATATACATAACAGCTTTATATTATACATTTATATATTTAATGACAGTGTGTCCTGCGAAACTCTCTCACACACTTTCTCGCTACAATAAACAATCGCTGCGTTTGGCCCGGCCGGCGCCTGATGGCACCGTTCAGCCGTCTCAAAGCGCCTCGCGGGACACACTGTAGAGTGTAGTGACTGTGTGTTGTGGGTGAGAGAGAGAGAGAGAGAGAGAGAGAGAGGTTATTGTTGGGGGGTGTGAGGCTGTGTGAATAGTGGGAGCTATCAGAAATTAGTCTTTGGAGATGGAACCAGACTGAATGTTTCACCCCGTAAGTAATCTTTGACACTGAGAGAGTGAGAGAGAGAGAGAGAGAGAGAGAGAGTGAGAGAGGGAATGGGACACAAATCGAGAGAGTGACGGAAAGAAAGAGAGGGAGAAAAAGGGAGAGAGAGAGAGAGAGAGAGATAATAATTAATAATAATCCCGGGGTTTGACCCGGCCCCCGATCATGTCGTCGAGGCGTCTCGAAGCGCTTCACGGGACACGCCGTAAAGCGCAGTGACTGTGCGTTTTGAGCAGGAACGGGAGAGAAAGAGAGAGAAAAAGATGGGAGGAAGGAGAGAGAGAGAGAGAGAGGTTATTGTTGGGGGGTGTGAGGCTGTGTGAATGCTGATCGGAAGCTTATCTTTGGAGAGGGAACCAGACTGAACGTGTTGCCCAGTGAGTCTAATAATTAATATCAATATAATAATAATTATTATAAGTTTCACCCACAAAACACACAGTCACTGGACTTCACAGTGTGTCCTGTGAAGCACTTTGAGGCGCTCTCTCTCTCTCTGTCTGTGTGTGTGTGTGTGTGTGTGTGTGTCCCTCTGTGTGTGTCTGTGTCCCTCTGTGTGTGTGTGTGTCTATAATAATAATACTTGCATTTGACCCGGCGCCTTATCATGCCTTCGAGACGTCTCAAAGCGCTTCACAGGACTCGCTGTGAAGTGTAGTGACTGTGTTTTGAGAAGTCTCGAAGGCGCTGGGTCAAATGCAAGGTTTATTATTGCTGTGTGAGAACAGCGACAGTTTAGTCAGCCCTCGCCCCACACTCGCACACTGCACTACACCCTCTGTCTCTCTAACACTCTCTCTCTCTCTGTCACACACACACACTCTCTCTCTCTCGCCCACTAAATGTACAGTCACTACACTTCCCAGCTTGTCCCGTGAAGCGCTTTGAGACGCCGTAAAGCGTAGTGACCGTGTGTTTTGTGGGCGAAACAAAAGCGAGAAAGCACATTGCTTGTCCGGGAAAGAGAGATGGGAGGAAGGAGAGAGAGAGAGAGAGATGGAAAGTGAGGGAGAAAAAGAGAGAGAAGGGGAGAGAGAGGGAGAGGCAGGTTATTGTTGGGGGGTGTGAGGCTGTGTGACTGTTGGCTACGGCCTAATATTTGGAGATGGAACCAGACTGAACGTGTCGCCCAGTGAGTGCAACAGTTAATATTAATAGAGCAATAGTTTTCGCCCACAAAACACACAGTCACTACACTCGACGGCGTGTCCCGTGAAGCGCTTTGAGACGTCTCGACGACGATCGGGCGCCGGGTCAAACCCCGGGATTATTATTATTATTTTCTAACCCTCTTTCTCTCTCTCGCTCTCTCTCTCACTCACTCCCGGGAGGACGTCTGAAAGCGCTTCAGGTTACATCTGTTGGTTAGGACACCGGGAGAGAGAGAAAGTGAGAGCGAGAGAGAGAGAGAGAGACAAAAAAAAAAAAATATATATAAGCGTTTAAGCTATCAGCGATCCTGGCGGTTGACCCGGCGCCTGATCACGGCTTCAGAACGCCTCGAGGAGCTTCACAGGACACACCGTAAAGGGTAGTGACTGTGTGCGGGGTGGGTGTCGCCCTGTCCGGGAATTGAACCCAGCGCTCTGACCGCGATGCTGCGAGTTGATGTGCTTGTGCGGAGCGCGAGAGAGAGAGAGCGAGAGAGAGAGCGAGAGAGCAAGCCAGGCTATGATTGAGTTGGTAATAGAATCGAATCGATTTTTATCCGCGGACTCCAACCCGCTTTCGTGGACCAGTTGACCCTTGAGACGCTGCAAGAGAAATGAGATGTTTTAGATAATATTTTCTCGATAAAACTACGAAAGAATCTCAGGTCTGGCCCAGCGGCTTCCGCAGAGAGACGCACATAGAGACGCAGAGAGACAGACAGAGACGCAGAGAGAGAGAGAGAGAGAGAGAGACTGAGCCACACGGAGAAAGAGACAGAGACACAGAGGGAGAGAAACAGACACACAGAGACAGACACACACAGAGTGAGAGACACACAGAGAGAGCGACAGAGACACAGAGAGAGAGAGCGACGGAGACACAGAGAGAGAGAGACAGAGACACAGAGAGAGAGACAGAGACACACAGAGAGAGAGACACACACGGAGAGAGCAACAGAGACACAGAGAGAGAGAGAGACAGAGACATCGAGAGAGAGAGCGACGGAGACACAGAGAGAGAGACAGAGACAGAGAGAGAGAGACAGAGACACACAGAGAGAGAGCGACGGAGAGAAAGACAGCCGCGCACACACACGCAGACGCAGAGAGAGACAGGGAGACACACACACACACACACACACATAGACGCAGAGAGAGAGAAAGAGACAGAGAGAGACGCGCGCACAGAGATGCAGAGAGAGAGAGAGAGAGACAGACACACACAGACGCAGAGAGAGAGAGACACAGAGAGAGAAGAACAGAGACACACACCTAGAGACGGACGTATACATTGGGTGATCGTCTGCAATCAGGTCGATTACTTACCCTCCCTCAGGAGATCCAAGCTCTCAGCGTCATCAGCACATTAAAAGCCAGACTTTTAACGAACAGGACACGGATCCCAAACACCGTCACGGCGAGCAGGTTAAAATGCTCGTCTGCAAAACAACAACACGGCAAAGGCGATGAGTTGCCGTTTCGTTAACGGCGACAGTAAACCAACCCCCTTTGGATTTGGTGCCGCGCCCGATCGCGTCTCCAAGCCCTTCGCAGAGCGTGTGTGAGGGAGACAGAGGCAGTGTGTGTGTGTGTGTGTGAGAGAGAATCATAATAATATTCTCTGGCGTTTGACCCGGCGGCGCCTGATCGCGTCTTTGAGACGTCTCAAAGCGCTTCACGGGACATGCTGTAAAGTGTAGTGACTGTGTGTTTTGTGAGCCTGTGGCTCAGGGGTAGACCCCTTGCCTCGCACCCCACAGCCCCTGTAGCTCAGGGGTTAGACCCCTCGTCTCGCAAGTGGGGGGGTGGGGACAGGACAGGGTGAAACCTTGGGCAAGTTTCCTTACTCCCCCCCACACACACGCGTGCCTCTGCTTACACAGCAGTAAGCAGGAACCCGCTCGTTATCATAGCGCCACGTCACGCCTTCGAGACGCCTCACAGCGCTTCACGGGACACGCTGCACAGCGTAGTGACTGTGTGTTTTGTGAACTCACCTGGTTCATCGTCTTGAACATGGGGATACATTTCTGTTCACCTGAAAGGCAAACCGGGAAATAATTATTAATCAGAAACAGCACACGAACAACCCGTGTGTCAGCCTGGCTCTGTCACTCTCTCTCCCTTTCCGTCTCTCGCACATTCTCTCTATCCTGTGTCACACAGACACACACACACACACTCATAAGAACATAAGAATTAGGAGCGGGAGTCGGCCATTCGGACCCTCGAGCCTGTGCCCCGCCATTCGATAAGGTCACGGCTGATCTTCTGACCTAACTCTAATTACCCTAAGCCCTCTCCCCGTATCCCCCAATCGCTCTATTTTTTTTAACCATCTCTCAGTCTCAGCCTTGAAGATGTTCGAGGACTGACTGAGCATCGACAGCCTTCCGGGGGAGTGAATCCCATACATCCACTGCCCTGTGAGTGACGCAATGTTTCCCTCAACTCTGTTCTAAAAGGCTGACCCTTAATTTTCAGACTGTGACCCCCGGTTATAGATTCTCCCACCGGGGGAAACAGACCCGATCGCGCCGCCCGGCGACGTCCCCACAAACAGCCGCGGGGGTTGAAGTGACCGAATTATTATTATTATTATTGTTTTGAAGGGATTATTCCCCCCGGAAAGTGATTCCCCCAATCGCCTGACAGGCGGGTTCCTACTGACTGCCGGGGACACAGGCGCGCGTGTGATATATATGAGTGTGTGTGTGTTTGTGTGTGTGCGTGTCTATGTGTGTGTATGTGTGCGTGTCTGTGTGCGTGTGCGTGATTGAACCCACCTGTGATCGGCTCGCAGGGAATGTCTTCCTGCTCGTAGGTGAGGTTGCAGTGCGTGGGCCCGTGGCCCTCCCCGGGCAAGTAGCTGATCAGGCTGTAGGTTTTGTCGGCGAGGGAGAGGAACGATTTGTCGCTGAAGCTCTCGGCCTTGTCCCGCTCGTCCCTCACCACCAACGAGACGTTGTCCGGGTAGTAACCGCTGGCCAAGTAGACGGGGGGGTTAGTCTGGTTGTGGGCAGGCAGCCGGAACACGTTGGGTCTCGAGCTGGTGCTCTCTGCGGAGACGGACAGATGGAACGGTCAATCCCCCCGACTCCGCAAGTCTCTCTCTCTCTCTCTCTCACACTCCCTCCATCCCACCGTTATTATATTATTATATTAAATGACGACACTCACTGGGCAAAACATTTAGCCCGGTTCCATTTCCAAACGCCAGCGTGTTGGCCACATTCACACAGCCTCACACACCTCAACAATAACCCGCCTCGCGCTCTCTCTCTCCCTCTTTCCTTCTCTCTCTCCTTCTGTCTCTCTCTCTCTCTCTCTCTCTGTTTGTCCGTCCGTCTTTCTGTACGTGAGTCTGTCCCTCTCGTTTCTTTTGTTATCTTTCTCTCTCTCTCTCTCTCTCCCTTTTGCATTCTCCCCCTCTCTCCTTCTCCCATTCTTTATGTTTTCGTTCCCTTCCCCTCTTTCGTTCCCTCTCTCTCTCTCTCTCCTCTCTCTCACTTTGGCCCACAAAACACACGGTCACTACACTCGACGGCGTGTCCCGCAAAGAGCTTTGAGACGTCTGGACGACGCGATCGGGCGCCGGGTCAAACCCCGGGATTATTATGACCCATTCCCGACTCCCCTCAGGTCTCTCTCCCGCTCTCTCTCTCCCTCTCACGCTCCCTCCGTCATTATTATTATTATTATTATTATTATTAACAGTGATGATGACACTCACTGGGCAGAACATTTAGTCCGGTTCCATTCCCAAACATTAACGATTGCCCTGCAGTAGACACACAGCCCGACAGACCCCAACAATAACCCGCCTCTCGCTCTCACTCCCTCTCTTTTCCTC